GTATTGCTGAAATGACATAGCCACCACGCAAATCAAAGGAGATATTAGCTATCAGAGCATTGTTCAGCACTTAACTCCTCACCCAAGGTAAGTTATTATAAAAATGATTCATTTTAAAATCAGTTGATGTATTATCGCGAAGCTGTTTCGGAAATTTATTCTGATGGGTTGGCAATTTGATATTTTGATTGCCAATATTTAAATCGCTATATTTGATAATTAGTGAAATAAAATGTTGCAAATATAAATATGTATATGTATATTCATAATTATCATCTAACTTAAGTTTTTTGTGTTCAATTGGTATAGGGAGTAGACGCTAAATTGGCATTATTCTAAAAGATAGATAAAAGGTATTTTCCCTGAATATTTAAGAAATTATAAGTTGAAGGCTCTTTGTAATTTTATTGATATAAACAGAAGAAATCGGGTTCGCTGTATTTTTTAGTACACTGAACTCCATAGATTAAGAGACGATCTTATTTTGTTTTTTAAGAAATGGATATATTAAAGTAAATTCATTGCAATTTATTTGCAATTGAAGAATAAAGACCTATTTAATGTATTTTAAGATAGGGATATATTAACTGACGTTCTTCCTGTGATTTTACTATATAGACGGATTAAGGCACGTCCACTCTATCTTCATAAAATTGTTGAAACAAGACCCACTCTTGTACTTTTAATTTGTTAATTAATGAGGTGATGTTTTGATTCACCTACCTGATAAGTAAAGTTATGCTTGATTGAGTTTTAGTGATATTAATTGACATTTGATCGGGTTAAATGACCCTATTTATGATATTTATCAATTATAGAACTACTTTACATAGGAGGTTTTCTTTGTTAGATTTTATTGCTCTAAGCCCATGGTTTTTACTTTGGATAATTATATGAAATTATTGGATATAAATGTATAACATAACATGGTGTGACGTCATATCCTCTTTTTTACGTTTTGTAAAATATGAGGAACAGAGTATCTAACAAGTGAAGATTTATTACTAGTTATATCCGTTTATTATCATTCATAATCTAATCTTATTGAAGCCAGTAGAATATACTTGATGATTAGATACTTATAAGTACTTATCAATCTCCCGCATTGGTTATATTTCGCATGCTTATATGCTCTCATATATTTGAGTGTTTATTTCATATTTTATATGTTAATTGGATAGATGAAGATCGTCGCCATTTTGCTGAGCTGCTTGGTTGGAACTGCAGTGTGTACCTTTCCCATGGGCGGCATGGGTGGCTGGAGCGGCATGTCTGGAATGGGCGGCATGTCCGGAATGGGCGGCATGTCCGGAATGGGCGGCATGTCCGGAATGGGCGGCATGGGCGGCATGGGCGGAATGGGTGGCACTTACTATCGAACATACAGGAGCAGCATTGGCGGATACCCTATGGGAGGAATGAGTGGAATGGGTGGAATGGGAGGAATGAGTGGAATGGGAGGAATGAGTGGAATGGGAGGAATGGGAGGAATGAGCGGAATGGGTGGAATGAGCGGAATGGGAGGAATGGGTGGAATGGGCGGAATGGGCGGAATGAGCGGAATGGGCGGAATGGGCGGCATGGGCGGAATGAGCGGCATGGGCGGCATGGGAGGAATGGGAGGTAAGACTTCTTATATTATTTACGTGTTAAGCAGACAAATCCCATTGTGATTATCCATTGGTTCATTGTTCATTGTTTAACATTACGATTATTCATTGGTTCATTGTTCATTGTTAAACATTGCGATTATTCATTGGTTCATTGTTAAACATTGCGATTATTAACTGGTTCATGTAAAACATTGTGATTATTCACTAGTTCATGTAAAACATTACGATTATTCACTGGTTCATGTAAAACATTACGATTATTCACTGGTCCATATAAAACATTACGATTATTCACTGGTCCATGTAAAATATTACGATTATTCACTGGTTCATGTAAAACATAATACTTTTGTATTGGTACTTTTGATAATAATAAGTGAATTCATAAGTCTTTGCAAGTTGACATGATAAGTTCGCATTTTAATGGATAGCTGTAAATCATAAATAATGTAATTGGTTCTGGACAAGTATATTTTAAACAGAATTGTTTTAGAATGAATTCATTGGTGCTGATATAATATCGTCTATACTAGTATGCAGTAAAACTTTAACGCTACTATTGAAAACAAATTTATTATATATACACACAAACACTTATTTTCTTAATTATAAGTAACTTTAAAAATATAAATGTTTGAACATGCACGTGTTCTATGGTCAGTTTGTTTAATTGTTGATTCGTTGCTTTTTCAGGCTACCGATCCTACAAGAAGACGTACGGTTAATACCACAGGCTATGTGAACTAACTGGCAGACCTCGCTAACTAACCTTTAATATATTATAGCGTAATAAAAACTGTTTCTTGCAATTGTCAATTACAGTGGAATAGAAAAAAATATGGCTTTGATTTATTTATTGAGATAGCAACAATTGTTTGTGTGTATAGTAAAATGATTAAATCACAATATCGAGAACTGATTGATTTTTGTGTGGGATATATTTATCTCAGATTTTGTGGTATATATATCCATTAATATCATATATTCACCTTTTAATATTTCAACATTGGTTGCAGAATAATTCAAAATGAACTTTCAACCTTTTGAGCTGTAGTACTGATTTAACAAAATAGACGACATGGTCATAGGGGCATTGACTTATTAATTTGTTTGACATTTAGAGCTGTAGTACCACTGATTTAACTAAATAGACGACATGGTAATAGTGGCATTGACTGTTTAATTTGTTTGGTCATAGTGGTATTGACTGTTTAATTTGTTTGACCTTTTGAGCTGTAGTACTGATTTAACGAAATAGACGACATGGTCATAGTTGCATTGGCTGTTTAATTTGTTTGACCTTTTGAGCTGTAGTACTGATTTAACTAAATAGACGACATGGTCATAGTGGCATTGACTTATTAATTTGTTTGACATTTAGAGCTGTAGTACCACTGATTTAACTAAATAGACGACATGGTCATAGTGGCATTGACTGTTTAATTTGATTGACCTTTTGAGCTGTAGTACCGCTGATTTAACTAAATAGACGACATGTTCATAGTGGCATTGACTGCCTAGTTTGTTTGACCTTTTGAGCTGTAGTACTGATTTAACTAAATAGACGACATAGTCATAGTGGCATTGACTGTTTAATTTGATTGACCTTTTGAGCTGTAGTACTGATTTAACTAAATAGACGACATGTTCATAGTGGCATTGACTGCTTAGTTTGTTTGACCTTTTGAGCTGTGGAACTGATTTAACTAAATGGACGACATGGTCATAGTAGCATTGACTGTTTAATTTGTTTGACCTTTTGAGCTGTAGTACCACTGATTTAACTAAATAGACGACATGGTCATAGTGGCATTGACTAATTAATTTGTTTGACCTTTTGAGCTGTAGTACCACTGATTTGACTAAATAGACGACATGGTCATAGTGGCATTGACTGTTTAAATTGTTTGACCTTTTGAGCTGTAGTACTGATTTAACTAAATAGACGACATAGTCATAGTGGCATTGACTGTTTAATTTGTTTGACCTTTTGAGTTGTAGTACCACTGATTTAATTAAATAGACGACATGGTCATAGTGGCATTGACTGTTTAATTTGTTTGACCTTTTGAGCTGTAGTACCATTGATTTAACTAAATAGACGACATGGTCATAGTAGCATTGACTGTTTAATTTGTTTGACCTTTAGAGCTGTAGTACCACTGATTTAACTAAAAAGACGACATGGTCATAGTAGCATTGACTGTTTAATTTGTTTGACGTTTAGAGCTGGAGTACCACTGATTTAACTAAAAAGACGACATGGTCATAGTAGCATTGACTGTTTAATTTGTTTGACCTTGAGAGCTGTAGTACCACTGATTTAACTAAAAAGACGACATGGTCATAGTAGCATTGACTGTTTAATTTGTTTGACGTTTAGAGCTGGAGTACCACTGATTTAACTAAAAAGACGACATGGTCATAGGAGCATTGACTGTTTAATTTGTTTGACCTTTTGAGTTGTAGTACCCCTGATTTAATTAAATAGACGACATGGTCATAGTGACATTGACTGTTTAATTTGTTTGACCTTTTGAGCTGAAGTCCCACTGATTTTACTAAATAGACGACATGGTCATAGTGGTATTGACTGTTTAATTTGTTTGACCTTTTGAGCTGTAGTACCACTGATTAGACGAGATGGTCATAGTGGCATTGACTGTTTAATTTGTTTGACCTTTTGAGCTGAAGTACCACTGATTTTACTAAATAGACGACATGGTCATAGTGGTATTGACTGTTTAATTTGTTTGACCTTTTGAGCTGTAGTACCACTGATTTAACTAAATAGACGACATGGTCAAAGTGGCATTGACTGTTTAATTTGTTTGACCTTTTGCATTGCCATACTATATTTTTGAACAGTTTCTCTTTTACTTCGTTTTCTACTGATAAACCGTTAACCCTATTGAGTCCGTTGCTCCAGGGATTCTTCATATCAAATTAAATCAATATCTTTTCATTCACACTAACGCATAGTCTTTTAAATCTTCACTCATACCCTCTCTATGGGCCCCTGTTTACCCATACCCTCTCTATGGGTCCCTGCCACTACGTATACGGGGGTAAACCTTTTGTCTATACAAGATGGGTTTCTCCTGACTTCCTTTTTTATTAAATTAGATTTAAATCACTTCGCTCTAACTAATAGTGCTGTCTTTTAATTATTAACACATATATTGCCTATTCGACCATACCTCTCTGTCTTGACGGGCGCTATCTAGTCCAATTCTACAAGTGTGGTTCCCTTATTGTAGGTTAAGGTAGGCGTCGTTGTATCGTGGGTATACTGACAGAAATGTTCGTTTTAATGAGTTCCTCACCGCCAGTAATTCTCAATTTGCAAAACAAAAATCAAAGACACACTTAAATATCATTGTTTGTAGTTGTATTTATTACTTTCCATTAGCAAATATAAACATTAATTTAAAAAGTAAAACATAGTTCTCTTTGTGGACGCTGTGATATCAGGATTAAATCGCAAAGGATTCTAGCGAGAGAAACGTTTGCGTACATGTTAATTGGTAGGTGGATAGATATTAGGATATATTCCCATTCCTGGAGGTGTTGAAAATAACTTAATCATCCTGAAAATAAAGAATAAATGTTACAATAAAATCATGCATTCAGACAAGAACACGGTAAACTAGACGACTACAACGTCTACAGAAAACACGTTTTACATAAGAGAAAGAACTGAAGGTCTAATTCACAGAACTGGTACAACTTATACAAGACAAAACAAATACGTAACCTCGGTATCCTAGGGTACAAAAAATAGAAAAGAAATTTAACACTTATCGGTTGACTTGTTTTTATACATTTAACGGAGATGAACGTCACACCCACATACACAGGTGATTGCATTTAAAAATTGATAACAGATACAGTAAGCCAGGAATGATCTACACTGCATCATACAGCTGTTTGGTCCTTCTGGGTCACATCGGTGTGATGCTAGGGACATAACAGTGGTAAATTAAAATTGTCTAAAATACTGTTGAAATAGATAGGACAGGTGCGTAAACCACTTAATTTATTAATTAAAAAAGTTAGAGGAGTACTGGTTAGTTAAAGATTAAACAATTGGCCATTTTACAATGCATATCTATATTAAAATCAGTGAGTTTTCCCTAAATGTACCTGACAAAATGTATTATCAGCTTGTTACAGATACAAACACTAGTATGAAATAGATTCTGGGAATATACATTGTATACTGTTCTTAACTGTATCCAACTTACGTCGCAGACAGTCTTGGAGAGACGGAACGTGCCCTGGCAGGCTTGGTCCACCCACACACTGTTACCATTGATACCAAACCTAAGGCCGTGTATACAGTTGGCCTGGGACTTCTGTTGTATCAGCGAAATAGTGTCAAACGATCCACCAAACTCACACTCCTTGTACTTGGTGTTGTGGCTCTCGCATACAATGATCTTTGTCTTTTCTGAAAGAAAAAAATAGTTGATAAAACAGATGTGAAGAAAACCACTAAGCAGCAAATAAAACGAAGAGAATGTAATCTATTAATTACAAAATTCCTTTTTGAAGGAGCTGCACGCACACCAAGGATTTGATGCAAAGTAATGCCAAGTTATTCAGCTTAATGGTAAAATAGAAACAAATATCAATGGTGTCAAGACTTAAGAATAAAGTATACGAAAGTTTCAAAACACATGTAAAATTTATACCACAACGTCAAGACACATGAACAAATATATATAAAACGTTTTTCCAAAGACACCGAGGTTATCCCGAACGGACAATATTGGGAAATAATGCCAACACTAAAGACAACACCATTAATGAAGAAGACCTCCAAAAGAAAGGAAAGTCATTCTGTGACCTTCTATAATTAATATAACATAGCCAAATCAGGACGGAAACGACACATCTGACACTCGTCAAGACTCTCAGTTCCACGATGTTATGTCGATAACCAATCCAAGGCGCTGTGATGAGCAGGTATTCAATCACGACAGCCCCAATTTTCAAGACAAGCCCCCAATCAAAGACTATCGTCAATTTAAAGACAACTATAGTCTTATTTTTTTCATTTTTATTTAATCATACGTGTTTTACAAGACTCACCACATCTATATCTGACTTCCATGTATTTGTAGGTACCCATACAAGGGTTTCCGAACACAGAATTTTTCGCCACCAGATTGCACGATTCTTTTCCATTACAATGGAGTAATCTCTTCATAGCTATATTACTGTGGCATGTCCTGTAAAATAAACAGTTATACTGCGTTATATCAAAACATGTGTGGTGTTAAAACATACCCACTATTGGTATATCTGCATGACCTTTTTTATGAACATGGTGTATGACCTCAGTGACATCAACAAATTAAAACGAATAGGTTAACAGCAACAGCTATTTCACGGACTTACCGTTTGGCCCCGATTGTTCCGAGGTTGGTTAACTTTGACCAGTGGTTAGTGATAACATCAAGTTGTTCTTACAAACCATTTCATTCATCTTTGTCTTTGTCATGTCAACCAAAGGAGAGAACTTATATAGGCCTAGCCTGCTGTTCAATCCTATTGTTTACTCAATAAAATATGATGAAATGAAGTTGTTGCCACTGAAAAAGGGGCTTTAACAGCAAACTAAATCCTGAAAACACACCAATTTTATCTGTCTTAACAAATCTATAGAAGTGAATCGATGTCAAATGTTTTTGATTTTGTTGTTTTAGAATTTTAAAATTTCCCCTAACCACTGGTTTACTCTATCCTAGCTTTGAGTAACCGGAGCCTGGAAGCCCACCTTTTCAGGAGAAAAACCGGACCGGGTCTGGACAACATAAATCCTGGTAGTAGAACATTAAAATGGACTTACAAATTGTACATGGCAGGACTTGGGCAAGTGATTTCGTCATGGCGGCCGTAGTCAACACCTTGCAGTGCCAGTTTATGTCCTGGTAGACAGCGGATAGTAGACTTCTGATTCTCACACACGATCGCAGACTTCATGCCTGTCGTATATATACAAGACAGATACAGCCCCCAACAATTAGACATCCCTGTACCACCATACAACAGTTAATATGTCTCAGAGTTCCTGGAAACTTCAGGGAACAGTAATGGTAACATCGTCACCAAAGTTATAACCTAATTTTTCAATCATTTACGATTCTTTCCTCAGTAGTATCAAATTAATACTGGAAATTGTCATTGAAAATTAGGGGGATTCAGTTTTACAGTTCTTAACATTACCCTCGATTTCTTAATGATGAGAACCAAAGTAGCCTTCATTTCATACCAGAAGCTGAATGATTTGACATCAAATCGTTTTAGAAGCAATGTGTTGATCATTACGTTTATGCGGCTACACTTCATTCCAAACATATAGTCAATAATGTTCATGCTCCTCTTTTGGACAAACAATTTGAGCAGCTAACCAATCGTGCAAATATATCTTATGTGGGGTTCCTCTCAGAACCGGATGTTCTTTTCGGTGTATCTTCTGCTCTTACTGCAATAGCAACTGCCTTTGCCAGGCCTCTTTCTGTCCGTTTTCTCTTTTTGTAAAGCAAACTGTTTACCCTTATAACCGCATGACCCTTTACCACCTTTTCTTGTGAGGATAAAGCATTTAAACTCGAAAGTTAAACAGAAATTCGTTAGAATGATGTGTGATACTACATGTAGGATCAGTATAGGAATGTATCTTACTGTTTTCAGATTAGTATGGTGTTTAATGTTTTGAAACTTGATCTTTTTGGCTAAACAAACGATTCTGCAATAAAGCGGGTTGTTTTTGTAATAAGATGTGTCCAATTAAGGGATCCTTAATAGAGAAGTTAATTTTGCATTAGTTTCATTATATGAGAACCGAACGTTTCCAGTACAGACATATGAGTAGTCATCGAAAAAACTTACGAACCCGCATAAGGTGCCTTATAGACTTCAGAAATGGTATCCTCCTTTTATTCCGGTAAATTTCTAATGGTCTCAGTTAAATTTTAATTTCCGTTTAACGGATGATGTTTCTCGATATGTTGGACCTTTGTTAAATAAGACCCTTAGAGTTTTATTTTCAATAATTTATAAACTATAAACTGAACAGAAATGGGAAGGAGAAGAAAAAGGTTCAATCGGAAGGTAAAGTATTGATACTAATTTTACTTCTATTCATTATCAGCAGAACTCACTTCATGCAGGATTCGCTCCTAACATTGGTTTTAATAAAACAGATTAAGTATTTCGCCACCCGAAATGATTTTAAATGTTATGCATATCTTCCTATAGGTAAAATAATTGTTTTGCTAAGAAACAATAAAACGATATAAAGTAAACATATTTGTCTAACCTGGACTCACACAGTCGTAAACTACTTCCAGATACTTCGGAACGCCTCGGCATGGGTCACCAAACACTCCATTATGAGCTCTGACGTCACATTTTCGTTGTCCGTTACAATGATTTCTGACGATGTCTACAGCTCGTGTTGCCCGACATTGATCGTTGTCATGGTAACCGCACGTCTCCTTGTCCAGCCGTCCGTAGTTAGCTGCCTGGACGTACAGGACTTTACCACAAGGACACCTCAGGTGTATTGCGTTGTTTAGGGAGTGCTCACAGGCCGTCTGGTGCTGGTTTGGCAAACCTGTGGCAGCACAAAAGGTTTACGTGATGGTATGTTTTACTGTTGTGACATACTTTTATTAAGTTTTGTTGGACTATATATTTAAATGGGAAGTCTATACATTGAAAGAGTCCTAACAAACTAGATTAATATCATATTTGTCAATAAAACCCTCCACGAGACTTTAATCTTGTCACTACTATTTTAAGATATATGGGTAAGGTGCAGTGTATATATATAACATATATAATATAAGGTCTGAAACAAGGTTGTAATGGCTCGCCAACAATTTTTTCTATGTACATAAATGATTTAGCAAAAGAAATTAATGATTTGAAATGCGATATAGATATTGAATCGTGTATTATCTCCATTCTTCTGTATGCTGGTGACATTGCACTCATTGCCCACGATGAAAATTCAATGCAACGGATGCTTGATGTTTAAAATAAATGGTGTAAAAAGTGGAAGATCGAAATTAATCAAGACAAAACAAACATAGTCCATTTTAGAAATAATTCCATCCGTATTACCGATTATAAATTTTCATGTGGTAACATAACTGTAACTTTGAATAGCAAATATAAGTACTAATGACTCTGGTTTGAGGAACATTTAGATTTGCATTTTTCTGTCAGAGAACTCTGTAAATCTGCTAGTAGAGCACTTACAACTCTATAAATAAAATATTCACATGCCGGTGAAATGTCCTATAAAGTATTTAACAAGTTATATAAAACTTTAATTGAGCCGGTTCTTTTTATGGATGTGGATTATGGGGTATAAATAAATACCGAGAGGTTTCTGTCATACTACACAAGGCAAGTAGATATTTTCTAGGAGCCTCCCGTCGAGCAAGTAACTTAGCATTCAGAGGTGATATGGGATGGCACTCTTGCAATGTAAGTCAAGTTTTAGAAACGGCACGTTTATTTTTAAGAATAAAGTATTGGGATGATAACAGACACATGGAAAAGGTGCATCTATGGTCCGTTAGTCTGAAGAAAACTTGGGATTCTAGAATATTGAAAATGATTGATGACAAAAATTTGAATGAAATTGTAAACTCAACGTTTTCTGTTAAACACAAGATTAGACGAGTGAAGATAAAAATTATTATATCAGATGCTGATGAATGTTACGAGTCTATATGGAATGATAGTGGTAATATAAATGGTAACAAGTTGAGAACTTACAGAACTTTTAAATCAAATTTAATACCGGATTCATATATTAAGCCCGTCAGACCAAAGAGCAAACGAAGAGTACTTTTTAATTTTAGATGTGGCTCTCTACCTCTAGCAGTGGAAACTGGCAAATACGCCAAACCTGTGATTCGACTAGAGGAACGCTTGTGTAGGATATGTACAAATGTAAATAACTGTATAGAGGATAAGTTACACTTTTTAATTGAATGTGATGTATATAATGACATAAGATCATCCTTATTTAATGTAGCAAATAACATAAGAAATGGTTTTGCAAGTCCTTATAACACTGACGTTAATTTTATAATGTCTTCCGAGGAATTACAAATTCCACTTGCAAACCACTTATAAAATATGTACAGAAGACGTAGCAGTCTATGTGATTAGTTATAATTTTAAACAGTGTCTTGTAAGCCATTTTAGGCTGAATATCATATACAATTACATTTTCTATTTTATGCATTGGTTAAATATGATACCAGGTGTCAATCAGAAACATTTTTTATGAAAATAATCTTCCCTTTAAATTATAATTAGCTACTAGTTAGTGTGAATTTAGCAGACCTCGCTGGTAGGGGGCTCCCCAACCCTTGGAAACCTTAATTTCACTACAATGTAGAACTAGGAAATCATTCATTTTAATTATCACCATTGTTATTGTGTTTTTTTAAAGACATCATGTTTTAAGGTAGTAAATGTAAAAGAAACCTTTTAACTAGTATAGTATTTAATATGTAAGGACAAAATCCAGGAGTTTGTTAGGAAGGGGCTGTCCCAATCACCTGCTCTCTGGATTGGCAAATGTGATAGTTTGTTTTAATTTATTAATTTATTATGTATAATAGCTGTTCTTAACAAAATTATGATATGGTCTATATATTTGTTAATTAAGATGATTGATCCTGTTATGTAACTATATGTTTTTATACTGTGTAACTATATACGTGTACGATGTAATTGTGATATATGACACTATAACAAACAAATTGACTTGACTTGACTATAACAAATTAACACGTTAATGTTAACACGTTGATAATGAACATTGTGGATGAAGTTTAGTCTTTATACGTGTTGGTACCAATGATCCTTTTTTCTTGGTCCTTTTTCTGATTGGTCATTAGAAACAAACATGAACCAATGGCGTTGTGATATTCAATAAAGTCTCGTGACAAATATCTTTTGAAATCTATGATAAACGCAATTTTACCAGTGTTTCTCCCAATAATTATCATCCTTTCTTTAAAGATAATTTAACAATTATTTTGATTTTATTATTGGTGTCCCACTTCCCTTTGTACTATAAAATCACTAGAAAACGTAATTCATTTCAGTTGTTTTTATGTCAATGTTAAAAAGATCGAAATGAAATTAAAACTATATATACATATTTAGATTTTTAAAAAGTGCTTAGCTATCTTGTATAACAAATAAAATCTGTAAGAGCACAGACATAATATCCGACTTGTTCTTGTCATCAATTGTACTTACCTATAGAATGGATGAGTTCCGGGATGGTGACTAAAGCTAACAAAGAAATGAGTTCCATGTTTGTCCAGGGCCAGGTGGTCGAAAACTCACAGCGCGACAGCAGTTTCCGTCTTAAATACGCACGTGCCATTACTACTTAGGTCACCAGACCACCGCCTAGTGTTATCATCCTTGCGATGCTTTTAATTGCTTTTAACAAGCCTTGTTTGTATTTAATGCACCTGTATACGGGATAATCAAGCTAGAACAGGGTTTAAGAAGCATGGTTAGCTTTAAATCACAACTATGTTAAGTTTTCGTGTTTTGTTTGTTTTTTGTATGCAATTGTAAGAATCCTTAAATTGTATCATCAATTATGATAGAAACAAACGTTTATGACTAAAACTGACATGATACTTCTTATGGAAAAAAGCGTAAAGAAAACGATTTGTTAAGGTGACAGAATTCTGTTCCGAAAGACTGTGATATTTCCTTTGTGAAGCATACCCGCATTGACTTAATAGTATGAAAGATTGGGAAGAGCCTTAATGCAGCATATCTACTAAAAAGCAATACTTATTATCGTAGTCTCTAGATGGTATAACAAGAGAGCTGACATTCTAAGCTATATTTTATAAAATAGGGACGTATGTAAGTAACTTGTCTAAAAACTAGACATGATGTGTTGTCCCCATTGTAATGGAGGTTTTTAATAATTACCAGAACTTAAAATGGCGTATCAACTTTTACCAATGATCGTTTGTATAACAGTATGAATTAACCTCTCTTGGGAGTACTGTTCTGCCATACGCACGCCCCTTCCTCATGCGGAAGGACGGTAACCAACAGCCAAAACATCACCAGTTAATAATTAATAGTACCCTATCTTATTTAACTATTAACGGTTTTCTGTGGACTGACAACGCTAGCTGCGGAAGACTTTACGACCTAACCGCTCACTGCGCTATCAGAAACAAGACACCTGATACTATTACATTCGACAGATTGCAATACGTGCAACATTCAAATGTTGTATCCTGGTCAACCGGGACTGGCGCTGACGTCAAACGACTTGTGTACATGGGAGCCTACTACCGATCATTTATCAATGACGGCTTACTACTAAGCTGTAAAATGGGCGCGACGATTTTGACTTTCCGATCGCGAAATTAACCTTTCTTGATAGCAACATCACAGTCCGTACGGTGTTTACATGTCAAAGTTATATCATGATCTCTGTGTTTGACATTACCTGGGCTTGACTTAGATTGATATGGTGGGTGTCATCGATGAAGCAGTAGACGCTTACCCTTCTGGAACACATGGTCTTTTTCTCCTTGTGCTTTTTCAAGGGTCTCCATGTAATTCTTCCGTTTATTTATATTTTGCCGTAGTTTTACCGATTGTGAGTTCGACCTTTGATTTTGTTTACACTTCGGTACAGTTTCCTGTTGTTTCCTGTCATTTTCGCTCATTTTTCCACAGGTAGATTTACAATTAAGTGAATGTACGATAGTATACGCTATTCCAAATTACTTAGCGGTATACTCTTTTACCTTTTTGTTAAGAAGGTCTGATATCTAAAGCTTTCAACCTTTAACAAGGACATTTCATATCAAAGTATCATATTGTTATGGGTTATCACAATGATAAAGCCGTAAGTAGTGTATACTATGGTATTAAATATAAGTATACAAACAAAGAAATGTAATCCTAACTGATACAAACAAAACCACCAAGTCATTGTCTTCCTAGTCGTATGGCAGCTATAATACGGTGGGCCCATTTATTGTAACATCGATTTGTTTATGCCTCGTATCATAGTCTATTAAAGAAATATCAGTTAACATAGTTGATGTATCAGTGAAGGAATGCGACTTTGTTTTTGGTTCTCTTGGTTTTTCAATATTTGTCGTTTTCTTGCTTTGATAAAACTCTGCCTTCTTTACTTTCTTCTAATGAAAGACTTCTGATAGACATGGTACCAGTGAGTGGTGATGGTTCTCCGGTCCTTCCTTCACACAGGTAAATATTATTCCCATGTAGGCTATTTGAAAGTGATAATCAATTTTGATCTTTAATTTATTTTTATTTTTATTTTCGTTTAGAGAATTGATCACTTATTGAACTTATTTTTGATAGAACCGTAATATATACATGCATGATAGAATTTCATGCCATTACACGATTCCAGCCCTGTTCGGCAGTAAGGTCAAAAACTACTACAGACGAAAATGAGTATTCGGTATATCACCTAATATTTCAGTCAGATGCTACCCGCAAAACCTTAACGTGATTTGGTGAGTCGGTAAACATGTACCTACCTCGTAACATTTTGTGTAGGAAAAGTCACCAAACATTCAAAGACACGATTAATGCTATGATATGACAAAAATGGTAATCCTACAGTTGCTAATTTGTGCGTACAGTGTCGTGTTATCCTGTTTTATGTAACAAAGGGAGACAACTAGAACATTATTTTTTAAGATGGCCTTGTTGTAAAGGGCGTTATAACAAATGTGATCAAAATGTAGGTTGCAGAGCTTCACAGTTTGTTTGGCATGGCTTTAATGGCTGGTGTACGTTGTTTGTACAAATATCAAGAGGAATTTTGCGACCTAGATCGAAGAGTTCTATACACTCGTATTCAACTTGCTACATGTTGTAGTTGGAAGTTTGGTAAGAAAGTATGTTGTCCCGTCATGCACGAACACGTGTTTTCTTAATGACAATTAACATAGGACGTTATAATACAGTATTGCAATCATATCAGTAAACTATACCGACAATTTACAGAGTTATACTATTTTGTCATACCATACAAATATAGTATGTACTAACTACACATTATTATTTTATCATAATATTTAATAAAAGTATATCATCACGCTACGCAGATGTTACTTTATCATTATTTACACAAATAGTACGTTATCAAAATACACTCATAATGTACAGTAATACTATATTATGAAACTATGCAATAATACTATTTCATTATACTATGCAGTAATAGAATATAGCGTACTATATTTGATTTTCATAATTAATATTTGAGCACACTTCATTTCAATGCCATATATGTATTATTATATTTAAATATATAGAAATGACAATATCGTGCAGTTTTATACAAGGACATGCTACATAACCATAGTCCTGTAAAGGTCTACACGAAAGTTAAGTAACATATCATATTTATGATGTATAATATTGTAGTAAAGTATCAATCCACTTTTCTTGATTTCCATTCCATTTATTGTTAAGTAAATTGAGAGAACAGGACAGATGAACTTTCCATAATTTCTATCATACATTTTCATTTTAATACTAAAATCCCTATTTTAATTTTAATTTAAGTTACTGATTAATTGTCAGAACCTGTACACAGATGATATTATACAGAGTACATTTAGATGACCTTGTGAGCGGGATTTATAATTGACATTTACCCGGACCTAATTGATAATAAATAGACGTTTTAATAGTGTATAGCCACTCGCTCTGTGAAGACTGAAGGTACAAAGGAGGTGACAGGGAATCATCACTGTCCCTTCTTCTTCTTCTTCTTCTTCTTCTTCTTCTTCTTCTTCTTCTTCTTCTTCTTCTTCTTCTTCCTCTTCTTCTAATTCTGAAGTAACACGAAGATAGTTGAACACTAATCTTTCAAAAACTCTAAATGATAAGATTCTTCATGCCTTTGAGATTGAATCCCTCTTTTCAAGAAAGAGTTGCTTCCCTTCCTTTACTTTTCCATAAAGACTAAGTGCTAGGCTATCTAGTTCGGGCCTAACATCACATTGTAATATGATACAATTTGGTAATAGTATTGTATTGTCTTAACACTCAGAAATAATCATTTATCATTTCATTTTCAAAAATCTTTTTTCATTTTCAACTTTGATGAATAATATTTTTCTTTCATCTCTGTTGGTGTAAGGTGGAGACATTGGGATAAGAAAACCGTTATTAGGAAGTAGGAACAGCTATTTTTATCATACGACTGCTGTGATATACCATGCTTATAATTGTCTAATTGCCCATTGCTTCTTGTTGTATCACCAATGCTCGGGTTTAATAAGACAATGGGAATTAATCCGATGTAGACAGTAAACATGATTTTGAACACTGGGTTAAACAGAGATTAAATAAAAAAAATACCAGAAAAATACTCTTCAATACCTGTATATCAAGAAGCTTATTTCTTCCTCAGGGCTATGACCTTGAAGTTAAGACGTCGGCAACGCGCAAGATATTCTCAAACTATTCTATATACACGAAGATTTGAAAGAGACTTGTTACAGCTGAGGTCGATCACAACTGAACATTTCTTGTTCGTACCTCGGTGGAATGTATCCCTGGAACCCATTCTTTACATGACATACGTATAAGTCATTTGTTATATATAAGTCTGCGTGTGTATTTATCAAAAGAAATGACGAGACTATTTATACACTCGTTAATATTATGTTACTTTGGGTTGTGAGTTATCACCCACTCTGATATACAATATACAAACTATTGAGGACTCGTCTTCTATCTAAGGTTTCGTCACCCGCCCATTCATGTTAATGCTTTCAATTATAAACACTCGGTCTGTGACACTTGTGTAGTAGGGGCATACTGACATTTAACGGGTATGATTTGAGATTTTCCTTTCATGTAGCTGAAGCCAGGTTAGTGTAACGCAATACAGGTTAGAGGGCCGTCCCCTTACACCTAAATATATCATTTACTGTCACTAATCACTCGCGTGATTCAGCTAAATCAACACGCTATCACAATATGGGTGTTTCATTTCAAAGTAGTAAGTTGGCAAAATAAAGCACTTTCTTTTTACCAACGGAGTGAATAGTTTACGCCTGATTAATTCCGTAGACTCCTCCACAGCGGTCGACGGCCTTTATTATTGAAAGTAAGTCAACGCATCGTATCTTATACCATACCATCATATCTCTTCAAATATGTTAGGGTTCTTTTTTTCAAAGTACTTCATTCTCAACACGATACATACTTAGATGAGAAGTAATTCGATTAAAGTTAAACAATTTTGAAAGATAAATTTCTGTAAAAAAACGTCGACTGATCTTTAGGTTACGTT